CCTTAAGATAACTGCAACAACAAAAAAGCACGAGTCAGAACATTTAACAATAACTGGCATAAAAAAGACATATAACAAATCTGATTAATATTGAAACTATGCTCTCCAATCGCTATACTTTATTTAGCTTCCATAAGACTTTTGGAGCCTAACAAAAAATCTGATTTAAATTTGTACAATGACTTTAAGAACTTAGGAGCATACAACATGTACAAGGATCTATTTAACTCAGGCTGGACACATAAAACCCCACAAAGTCACTTACGCATCATTACGATGGAGAGCCAGGGCGTGCCCTGTTACGTCGATTGTATTCTTGTCCACCCCAAACTTGTTGTACAGGTCCTCAGCCGTGCTCTGTTTGGGGTCGATTCCGTGCCAGGTCTTAGGGTCCTCCAGATTAAATTCCATGATGAAGATCATCAGTTTCCTGAAGCGCCTCTTTTCAAAAATGCCCATCAAATCTGAAATGTATGATGGTGTTCTAAGTCTACAAATTTTAATTATATTCCAACAAATGAAATCAAGTAAGGAACTGCTTTGTACAAATGCTGACTCTACATTTCCCCTTTATTATCACTGAGCTTGAAATTAGGCAGTAATGACTTTCTGCATCTTATCGTTTGTAATAGATCAGATGATTTCCATTCAATCATGAAACTACATTTACATGGTGTATAATATAATACTTTAGTTTTAGACGGACATATATTTCCTTGAAAACTATTCGATTCTTTTTTTTTTTTATATAATATCGAAGACAAATTTAATTCTCAAATTAGATGAAATATGAATAAATGCTTCCTCCATTAGTGTCTAAAATTTGCCTCTGGTCATGGATACTGATCTAAAAGGACCATCTGCCATATTTGAACCTTTTAATTGAGATTATAATGGAAAATTTTATGCAAGACTGTTCAAATTTTTAAACAACCAGTGTTCAGCCATCAATTTTGTCCCTTTTCATATATATAATGTAAACACCTACTTGTAGTGAGGGCTTCCTTCTCGTCGGCAGGCATTTTATACACCTTGCCTCCCTTACAGACATAACTACCCTCCAAACACTTGAACTCTAGGTAACGGGTTACACCAGTGTAAATCAGCAACTTAACCAGCTGACCTGAAATAAAAGACATAGTTCCCATGTTAATATCAGTAGTGCAGTCCTTTTTTTGTAAGATATTTTTATGATATAATTTTTTCCTTCATTAGAATTCATGGAAAGAATCCTTAGAATTTCTTAGAGTTCCAAAACAGAAAAAAAAATTAGAGTAAGAAAAAAACATCATGCTTGTTTTAAATTTTTTTGTTGGTGATTGAAAGTAGAATTTTAAAATAACTTCTCTGTTTTTCAACTTATAAATTAAAGTTTACATTTAATATGACTATAAATGCAAATTCTAAAATACACACTAAACGTGCTTAAATGTGTGTCAAGCAATTCTGACTAATTTTAGCATGCTTAGCATTACATATTCGGATGTACATTTATTGAATAATACAAAAGAGAATTAGAGGTAACATAGATAACTAACCATTAGCCATGAGGAACTTTGGAATCAGGTCCACATTCCAGTCTCTGCCTCTTCCAAACCTGTCTTCTGGCATCTTCATTCCATACATTTGGAACATCTATAAAACAGGCATGAAATGGAAATGAAAAACCAACAATTTCAAAGCAGATCAGGGATTCGTTTTACAAATTAAAGAACTTACGACAAATACCAAAATTTAATTCTGCTTATAACTTTATTAATTACAATAAATAGAAAATGTTTTTCATCTTTTTTAAAAGATATGTAGAAAGATACTTTTTATTCTGGCAATTTCAAACTGGATCATTTTTTCTAAATTTTACGATTAAGTGAAGATTTTGGTCTTAGTCGAAAGAAGATCTTTTGTAAAACAGGCCCCAGGTTTCATGGATTTGTCTTTCTATTTTATCATGTTTAAATTATATGATGATTTACGTCTTCCAGCGGGGTGATATTTTATCATGTTTATATGATGATTTACGTCTTCCAGCGGGGTGATATTTTATCATGTTTATATGGTGACTTACGTCTTCCAGCGGGGTAATATTTTATCATGTTTATACGGTGACTTACATCTTCCAGCGGGGTGATATTTTATCATGTTGAACTTTATATAATGACTTACATCTTCCAGCGGAGTAATAGATGCGATGTCTCCTCCGTAATACTTGTTCCTGTCTATATGCAGTACTTTTTTACCACTCACTGACATCATACCACTCAAAATACACTCCTGGAAATAAACATGATAAATCAATTTAATTAAAATCAAAGGTCAACAACTTGTCTATCAGATACTGTTGACAGTGCAAGGTACATTTCATTTCAGGGCTATGAAATGTTACAGGAAATCTTTGTATTAAATGTTTATACAGGAACTTGTATGCTTATTTTTCAATTGCACTTTTTTTAAAAATAAACTTTTAAAGATGAGAGGAAGAAAGTTAACACAGATCATAGACATTTAAACATGCTGCCAAAGTCTTCCTTATTTCTCAGCTTTACTTAACCATGGGTGAAATGTACATGATCACCTGATTTAAGATAAGACATTTTAAAAGAGTTTCTTTTCAAGATCCCAATTTTAATCAGTTTAAACCTACATCCATAATTACCATCTTTTAAGGATAAAAAATAAACCATAAAAATGTAGGAAGTAGATTACTATACCTTCTTCCTGAGATATTTACTTAAAATATGAACTGAACAATTATAATTATAATGTATTCAATTTGAATGGATTTGCACTTAGGCATAAAAGAGACCGAGTTCTGATATTAGATATTAATTATTAATACAGCACAACAATACTGGATAGAAGAGCTAACTGCTTATGTTCATGCAAGTTCTAAAAAATGAAAAACATAAAAACAAATATCAATCTGTATTAAAGGTACTTGGACACAGATTTGAAGTTATTATTTTCTCTATAATATTACGGCTTATATATTTTAATAGCATTTCACATAAAAATTAATTAAAAATCTTATTTTATATAAAAGATATTAAAATTTAAAATCTTTTGGTTGGTTTGATTGACACATCCTTGCACTTTCACATAATTATTAATTTTATTCTTAATCTTAAGGAAAAGTGGCAATCTCGTTTTGTATAAATAAAAAATATTAATACTATAATCCAGAAAATTCAGAGTAGACATGTTCGAAGGCAAAATAAACACACAATATATTGTCAGTCCGTGCAGTTGTTGTAAGCAGACTGTGACGATTGAACGCACCCGGTGAATTGTAAACATAAACAATAACAGAACTCGTGTCCTGTTCACAAAAACTGTGTACATAACACGAGTGTGCTCGATTTGCTAAACTCTGTACGCAACTCTTAGATGGGCATGACGATACTTGTGAAGGAGTGTTGCTTTCTAATATTTCTACTCTGTATAAAATTATTTTTCTGGATAAAAGTTTTCATATTTCTCATTAATACACAACAAGATTGCCACTTTTCCTAAGGATTAAGAATAAGGTTAAAATTTGTGAAAGTGCAAGGATGTGTCAATCAAACTCGCCAAAAAATTTGAAGTTTTAATAACTTTTAAATGAAATTAAGATTTTTAATTAATTTTTGTGTGAAATGCTATTAAAATATATAAGTCGTAATATTATAGAGAAAATATTGACTTCAAATCTGTGTCCAAGTACCTTCAAGATATGTCAAGAAAATTAAAAGGGGTTTAGAAGTTTGCCTTACTTCAGAATGAATTTTAGAAAAAGTAAATAATCTAATGTATGCCTAATTTAGAAATAAAATTTTCTATAATTATGATAAAGCAAGCATTCTCATAAATATTATGTGCAACAGAACTGATTCAATAAAATTGATTCATCATTTGAATCAGAACACAAAACAGGAAATCTTGAGATCTTAACATGCTTAAAAAATAAACATTCAGGGTAATTTTCAAAAAATCATTAGAACCAGCTCTTTCGAAAAATAAGTCTTTCACTTAATTGTTTGAGATTTATAACATGTATAAGGGATTTCAAAAAAAAGGGCACAGGGTCCGATGCCTGGGAAATATTTTTTTGGCATGTAAAACTTCCAAACAAATTATATCAAAAAGTGCAAAACATTTATTAAAGTCATAACTCTGTGAAAAGCACAAAGAGTTTCGAAAATCCTGATCATTTCTTCATGAAACCCTTATCATGGGTTATGAATAAAATACTATATATATCACGTATTTATATCTGATATCTATATACTTCAAACTTGTGTTATTATTTTTTCTTAATGTCTACATTATGTCTCTTACTGCTTATACGTATTGCTTGTAAATGAGGTACTTTACAGAATAATTAAAAGACCCATGTCAAAATATGTAGTCATGTTTCATAATATTATTCATACATGACTTCGAGATCAATACACATCAACAGATAAAGGGGCGTTTTGTTAGATTCACCACCCTCGCCTGCCTTTGTCTAATTGTGTTAATGTTTGATATCTTGTTCAGATCTCCACATATTTTTAACAACTTCCTTGTCAGGTACCGGATTATACCTCAAATATCATTTCCTCTAAAGTGGCTAATCTGTCTCGTGAATTTACTATAAAAAAAAATGTCATAACACACTAATTATTCCCTTTGGTTGAATTTAAGGACTGGTAACTTAACAGTTTCTACATTTGTAATACTGAAATTCACCTTTAGTCCAGTTCCAAGAACGATCACATCATATTCTTCATCCATGGTTACTTAGTGAGCTGGCAACAACTAAAATTAATGTGAGGTGGTGTGGTCCTTCTGCCGGCGGATGATAATGGTCGCATGCGCGTATGAATTTGGGCACATTACAAACTGCATGTGGCCTAATTCTTCCGTCAAATTTATCAATAAGACTATATATACCACTTAATACTGCATAAAGAATCAGTTAAAATAAAAAGTTGTTTACAAGTTATTGAAAACAACAGTCGAGTTTATTATTTATGCAGCGGAATAATATCCTCTCGCCATCTGGTGTGCTGTTTGGTTACTTCCGGGATTTTATCACCGTCAGAATCAAAATATCGATTGTTCGCAGTTAGCTACCCTCCACAACAAACTTTGCAACTTGTGAGGCGAATGCATTGCAACACGAATGAGACCATCTATAAAAAATATCTGGACTTCAGTCCATATTTCGACATGGTTGTTCAAATTTTAAGCTAAAATTCCACAACTGGGGCTATAGCAAAATCTTGAATATTTATTTAAATTACGTTAAGCATTAACGTATAAAAGTATGGCCGAAAAACGAAGATCTACAGCAAGTTCACCCATGACAAGTAGTACATCTATTAAAACTGAAGGTTTGTGGCCTGCAAGGGCTTTTCAATGTGTATGAGTTGGATACTGTTCAATTTTTCACCATGTTGATGTTGACAAACTTTTTACAATCATTTTCATGATTTTGATTCTCAAGTGCAAGGCATGTGTATACAATATATTTAACAATCAACTATCCCCTAAAATTTAGAAAGACAATGCTGCAATCTCTGTGATAAATGGATGTAAAAGCTATATATGGCGTATCTGAACTAAAAAAAAAATAAAAATACGAGATTTAGCATAGATTTACATGTTATTTATGTCCAAATTCAAATTAACACCTATTTTGAACTTGAGTATCCCCATGTTTCTATTAGTTAGCTTGTTCTGATAATAGATTAGTCTATCTATATGTATAGTTCAGTGAATCAGTGGCTATATATAGACACCTAACTAGCAAGAAGGAGTTCTTCAACTTCTTGTTTAGATTCTGGATCAAGTCATATAATCTCTTTATGCATTGCTCATTTCCTACAAATTATACCATTTTCCAAACAAATTAAAGCAACAAAGATCATGTTGGTAAAAAAAATATTAATGGTTTTATCATGTTTATGTATCATTAGTCTTGTATCAGATTTTTTTTCCTTTACAGACTCGCAGACTTATGACTTGCTACAACATGTTTTCTCAGAGATGACTTTATCAGAAGAAGCAAGTGCAAAGCCAAGGTAATTTAAAGGAAAAAATCTTTGCAGGAAAATCTTTCAATTCAATAGGCATTTTTTCATGCATTTTCTTATTTTTTAATTAATTTCTGGTTGGTTGGTTAACTTTTAAAAAGATAGACCAGGTAGTGACTGAGGTACTTTGTTCTTGTTGTGTGCATATATACCAACATGACCAAATTGTCGTGTTAATTTGAATAGCTTTATAGATTTTTAATTGTTTTTACCTTGAAACATTTGAAAAAAGCAAAAGTATTTACAATATTATGATTTTATTTTTGAATTACTTTCAGAAAAAGCCTGGAACTAGAAAACCTGCAGACAAATATGGATGAAATGATTAGTGATGTTGTGGAAAAGTCCTCTTCATCCTCAAAGAAGAAAAGTTTGTATATCAAATAAAAAGCAAAAGTACTGATTAAATTCTTGAGTAATTTTGCACCCTGTATTTAAGAAGTTAAGTTTCTACAGAGAACATCAAATACTTACTACAACAAGAATAAATATTTACAAATTGAAAATACACTGTTTCTATAGAAAAAATTTAAAATGGGGCAAATTGATTACCAGAAAATTTCCTTAGATTTCCTATTTTTACAATTGTACATGTATGATATCCTTTAGACATACTCACCCCTATAGACGGGAGGATTGGTCCGTCAGAAGTTGTTTTTGATCAGAAGTCGATTGTCGGCATGATGGGTCTTCGCTTGGAATCTGATCAACTTGCTGTAAGTTTTACATTTTTATTCACAAGAACTTCATTTTCGCGTAATTACACAAGACAGTGTATTTGTGAAAAAATTTCATTCTCATGTGTATTATTCTGAAAGATTTTATACAGCAATAACCATAATTCGTTAAAATTTTGTCTCGCTATTAAAGAGTCAATGACTATCTTGCGAAAATAAAGTGTCATGAAAATATAATGATCTACAACGGTAACTGTACTTAATTTTGAGATTCTTTCAAAGTAATAATAAATATTCATATACAAGCAGCTACAAATTGAACTCATTCAAAAAGATCATTGCCTTGGAATTTTATTTTTTTTTTTAAATTAAAACAGATGAAACTATAAATACATTTTCATTATCATACCTAGTTATGCATGTGTGAATAGCAAGGAATTTCATACAATACAGTGCTAGTCTATCTGAAAATTTAGTTATCTGATCTTCAGGTGAAAATAAATAATTTTCTTAATTATTTATTGAGAGGGCTGGGTGGTTGTGGCCATTTTCAGACTATATTGATTTTATTAAGAAGAAGAGCTCCATATAATAATATACAAAAATGATCAAATTTTAAAAATAAAAGGTATAAAATTTGTCTTTTCCAAATGATAGTTGACAGCTTAAGATATCATATCTTAAAAAATTAAGTTATGTTATATCTGACTATTTCTTTGTTGAACCCCCAACCCCCTCCCCCAGCCTCCTTGAAAATTTTTAAATTTGAATTTATACTATTTACAGGTTACAAGTCACAGTAACTTCAGCACCGTGAGGGCCAACTGCTGTGTTTATAGAGGTAGGAGTGACAACACAATTCAAAAAGTTTTATGACAGTCTTTAAATGATTTAAGTAGGCCTGAGTATCACAAGCTACCTAACAATATGATACTTGTCACTTGTCATGTGAAAAAAACATGTATCATAACACAGCTGTCAACAGTTAAATAAACTTAAATTAACTGATATCATAACATATTATTGCTTGTTTACCTTCACAGTTACAGAAAATATTAAAAGAGTATCTTGAGACCCCTAACTAAATATATTTATAGGCAGGTGTACAGATACTCTTACCATTGTATTTGTTCATTTCTACCTTGTTTTCAATCAATACATTAACATTAAAATGTCTCAGTCTGCTTGTAGAATTTTCAAATAGACAATGAAATTAACTTGTACTATATCACGATATATACGTCATGGCAATATGATATGCATATCGTGAGACCTTGATGTATCACACTTTATTATATGATTGAATAATTTCCATCTCTCTGATTGGCTGAGATTCAACTATGTTGGAAAAATATTACGTTGTATTGACCTGCACGTGACGTTCCAGGTCAATACAAGGATTTATTTCCTCTACATTGATCTAAAAATAGATTTGGAGATTCCAAATTGATACAAATAGTTTTAGAAAGCTATTTAAATTAACAACTTTGATTTTTATTTTCATGTGAACAAAACATAAGCGAATATAGATTTTAGGTGAGGGTGGTGCATATCAGGGGATTCAATACGATCGGTGTATCCCCCTCCAACACTTTTACTGAACAACAATTTTTTTTTACTTTTTGGCAGTCAGTTTTCCCTGACAATACTCTTTCCTTTCAAAATCTATCCTATGAAAAAGACTGACATATATTTTTTTTTCATGGATAACTAAAATTGATTTAAAAAAAAAACAATTTCAAATCGATACGACTGGTAAGGTTTATTCACATTTTAATTCTGCATCTCTCTTGTATTTGGCTAGGACTTAATAAAATAAAATGTATCATTTTATCAGTGAATCATATAATAAAACAATTATTGCTATTTTTTCGGTTAATACAATGATTTAGCCATCTTCAGAGTACCATGCATATTCACCTCGCCCTTCGGGCTCGGTGAATATTGCACTCCTCAGATGGCTAAATCATTGTATTGACCTCAAAAACTAGCAATAATTGTATAGTATTGTTACACCTTTAGGTTTAACCTTCTTTGTGGACTGAAAAAACTATAAAAAAAAAAAGACAACAAATATTTGTCTTATTCTTTTCCAGATAGAAAAAATATGTTGTTTTTTCTTCTGTATTCCCCCATCAATCAAGTGAATTAAGGTCCATCTTGGGGTGCTTAAAATTGATTGGCATTTAGTCCCTGGGTATAAAGTTTAAACTATTAATGATATTTTTTTATATATTCTCCATGTAGAGATCTAATAATTTTATGATTAAATGTAGGCCAAACAAGTTGTGCAGGTAATACTCAATGAATGGGCTTCCTGTGTATACTGTTTGACGTGTAACTATAGGAATTAGTGCTCGATCTTTACGACATGCACTACTGTCAATGCCTCAGAGTACCACGCATGTAAAATTAAGTCCCTCCCTTTACCTGAGAAAACTGTACAGTTAAAAATCTCGGCCTTTAAAAACTCCCATGTTTAATCTTATTGACTTTTTGACTCATCATCTGAACTTTCAAATCTTTCAATTCTGTGTGAAATTAGCATGTATATTAGTATCTTGTTCTAAAGATTATGCAAACAAATGCTGTAAAATTGCACATTTTCATGGGTCAAATTTTTCATGATTTGAAAAAAAAAATTAATGGTTCAAGGGGATTTTATTTCATGATTGAAGTAAAGTTGGTTGTTCTAAATTTTATTCATGGAGGACATAAATTCATGCATCTCTTCATACCATGAACACAACGAAAATTAAACACCTACAAAAATTTATATTACTGTAACAGTAAATGTACCCCTGGTTTGTGTGATTCAGAATTGGTTATTTTTGTAGGGAAATGGATGTACGAGGTCATGTTGTGGTCTAAGGGTGTGATGCAGCTGGGGTGGTGTACGATCAAATGTAAATTCTCATACGAGGAAGGCGTGGGGGATACACAGGATTCATACTCCTATGACGGAAGTAGACTCAGAAAATGGAACATCAGGACACAAAAATATGGAGAGGTACTCACACTTAAATATCTTAATATCTCTGCCAGTTAACTTACAGATATTTCTTTATGTGGATTTTGGGATCTTACATTATAAATTTTCCTTCAGTTCAGTTCAGGAAATTGTTTTCCAAATGTCGTCTGATGCGGTTTTTGAAAGCAACTATAATTTCAGTATCTTTGAATAAGAATGTGTATTTCTTGTTTGTGAAGCTTTTTTCTCACACTCTGAGATAGTTGTTACTGAAATCTACTTATAAATTGAACATGTTGAACTTATAAGTAAAAATAACTGTTAATTTAAATTATATGAATGAAACTTAAGGAAAAGCATACAAGTCATGTATTTGATTTCAAGAAAGTAAGGAAAACTAACTGAAATATGGGTATTACATTAAAACTCCATTTTGAAACTGCTTTTGTATTTTGATTCCAAACAAAACATTTTAATGCTCTTTATTTAATTTCCATTGCATTCATTAGCATGCATGTGTTAATGAAATTAAATCAAGCTTTTTGAAGAGCTTGATTTATATCAAAAGTGATTCTGGATTCACATGGTCAATATTTTTTGCAGGCATGGTTGGCTGGAGATGTCATTACATGTGCACTGGACTGTGACAATAAAACCATGACATTTTACAGGTTTGTTGACTTAGCTACTGAAAAATTAAAATAAACATAACTTGTGGAAAACTGTTGAGAATTTGGAAAGTTATCACAAGATATAAAGAAAATACTTCGTCAAATCTTCATTACATTACAGTGTGTCCAGATAGATGATCGATAATTAAAAGTCTCTTGTTATTTATTCTAGCCAACCACATTATTTCTATGTCAAAATGAATGGCAAAAAAAAAAAAACCAATGGTTTCAGCAATTGAGGTTTATAAAAAATATTGTGAAATCACTAATTTTCACACAATTATGGTACAGAGTGTATATACAGTCAAACTTGTTTTAAGAGGCCACCTTTGGGAAGTCTGAAAACTGGCCACTTAAGACAGGTGGCCTCTTATTCCAGTTTTCCCTCGAGAAGGACATTCGGTCAATAAATAAACAACAATAAGCAAGACAGTTAACTTAATTATGATTAAACAGGTCAATTTCATAAAAGCTTTTTATGTGTATATATATTAATTCAAGCTCATTTAAAAAGAATATTAAAGAATTCGAAATATTTAACATATGTCCTACATATTAGTTAAATATCTTGATTTCATCAGTGTGCTTTTGTTACATTGAAATATTAAATAAATTCTTTTAATTTTCATTTGAAGAAATACACACAGTGTCCGACTATTATCCTTTTTTATAAAGAGAAAATAACCCAAACAATACAGTTTACTGGTAAATAAAATAAAGCATAGAAATTTAAGTAAGAATATGTTCACTTTCATTAATTAAAAAAAGTGGTGAGCAGTGTACCCCCCCCCCCCATCCCCCAACTTAATCGATAATTAACTTACTTGCTGATGTTTTTGAAGTCTAGTTAATTTTATTGTTTATAAAGCTGTCAGAATTTCGCTGTAACATACACAGACACACAAATAAAATTAACCAGTTGACCAGAGAGATGAATTTACGCAGTTGAAAATCATTCCATAACACAGGTGTCAAGTGCAGTAGAGCGTTACTAATCCCTATCGATCGTCTCTTGATAGTGAAATTCACGAGATAATCATGGCATATGAAGCACTTTGTTTTCACTAGAGAAGCAATTAGGGCTTCTACATGGAATCAAAATCTAAAAGGTGTGAATTTCTTTAGCTAGAGGAAAGTATCAATTGTAATTACATTCTTTTAATTTTTTAATCGGCAATCTTGAAAAATAATTACAAATTGATATAACAGGACAAATATTTTTTTTTTTTCATAAACACAGAGTTCAGCGTATCTAAAAGCATTTTTTAAATTGCATTAATAGGTTAAATTTACTATTGAGGATATAATTACCCAAGCCAATGGGGTTAAAAGATATGATAGGGTCGCAACAAGTGACGAAATGGCCGCCTATTACAGTGTCAATAAGGCAGTTGGGGGAGGATTTGAGTGGTCGCTGGCCGCGTTACAGAGGTGGCCGTTTATTCCAGTTAAAATATATAGGAAAAATCGTCGGGGGGAACTGAAAGTGGCCGCTGACCGCAAGTGGCCGTTGGTTTCGGGTGGCCGCTAAGACAAGTTTGACTGTATAAATAAATTCAATATTTGAATAACCAAAGTTCAAATTTAAATATTACTGAGTGTTGCTTTTTCATAGGAATGGAAAGTCAATGGGAGAGGCTTTTACAAACATCAAGACAGGGAGTGGGTATGCCTATTTTCCAGCGGTCAGTCTGTCCAGAAATGAACACTTGAGAGCTAACTTTGGAGCCACACCCCTCCGCTATCCGATCGAGGGTTATGAGCCTTTACAAGCCGTGCCCCAGGAGGACGTCGTCAAAGCTCAACTTTTGATTGGCTGGCAGGAGAAACTCATTTATACACTAGTGGAGGAAGATAAGGTAGCGTTGTCAGAAAAAAATTGATATTGTAAAAAGAGAGAGAAGACATATATCCAACTGTTTTACTTAGAAAGTTTATTCATTCTCTTGCTCTAATTTCTATGAACTTGACATTCTACATGTATTTACTTCAAAATACAGAATGTACAGTTGAACTTTGGTATTTGGAAACCGATTTGTGTTATTAATTTTAAATAATATAATAATTACTAATACTTTTAGATCAAATTGAAAAGAAAAAGTTTCTACTTTAAAGAAAAACTTTAAAGAAAGTCATGTTGGTGTTTTTACATGAACATATATCTGTTTTCAGCATTTGATAGATGTCTGTGGAATTGAACAAGATGGATCCAGCATCCCTCCTCTACCTCTAGGAGAAAACAGAAGCAAGAAATCTACAGCCATTCTTATATCAGCCCACATCTTTGAGAAACTGGCGTCATTGTTGGTAGTTATCAGACTGAGTGTACAAGGCCTTGTACATTTACATGTAGATTTGCATTTGCATGTTTAAATGAGTTTCTATTTTCAATAAATTAAAGTAAAGAAAGAGTCTTGATATGTTATTTTGATAAGATTTATTACAATTTTAAGAAATGAGATAGGCATATGTGTATGATATTCTTTTCAGAAAGGTCCTTATGTGGTGGAATGTTGTCTACTACCTTTGATGTTGAAGTTTAGTGCCACAACCTTAGATCGAACGAAAACAAACCCTCAGATCATCAAACTACTAGATCTCATGTGGTCACTGATGCAGGTTTTGGTTTTATCAGTCTATACATGTAGCTGCAGAAGTAAAAAAAAAATTAAAAACACAATCCAATTCATTTAGGTGTGTGAAGAACAATAAAAAAGCTGTAAGGCAATGCTATTAGTGTAGCTTTTATAATGGAATTGAAATTTTATACATCTGAGCAAACTACTATTATTTAGATTTTAAAAAAATATCCCTTTATAGATGTATATAATATGACCTGTTATATGTACTTTATTTTCCTTCCTAAGGACCATGAGATAAAGCCCTGTATAGACAATATGATGACCTCCCTACTCTACAACTTCTACAAGACATCTCCCTGTACCTCAGATTTCTCATCACAGGTAGGAATCTGTGTTAACTAATTAATTTAGAAGAAGTAATGAGTTAAAATGACACTGCAAATTTTATGAAAAGAAACTACTTTGTATAAGGGATTATTTTTGGCTTTTTGTATGCTTTTGTGTCTTTAATATGTATTGATTTCAGAATTTTAATTTTGAACTGTTAACTAATAGACTACAAGACATATAGGAGTCTGTCACAGGGATTCGGTCACTACCAAAGGGCATTGTGTTTCACAGATGCTTTAATATAAAATCTCACAGATGAGTTTAAATTAAAACATTAAAAGAATGTAAAGAGCATGGATTTAATATAATAATTATGCTCTAATTAATAAAGTGTACAGGGGTGATTACTGAAATCATTGAAACAATACATTATTTTTTTTTTCTTACAGAAAACCTACCTTGATCTGACCTTGAGAGTTCTGCAGCACTCACAAACCAGAAGATACCTTCTACTCAATGTTCTATATCCTTTTAACACAGCTAGACATATATTTAATTTACTTCAGTTTAATTTATATCTTCCCAAGAAAGTATGTTAATTTCAATAGATAATTATTTTACATACATGCTCTAGGTTAGGGATGTAGGCATGCAATATTAAGAACACTAAATGTCGTCATCTCAAACTCTGCAGGATTGAACTGATATCTCAAACTACCTAATCACTTCTACAGATCCTTGGTTTTCAAGAAGCAAGTGCTGTATAATGTACTCTAAAATCGTTTGGACATACTTCTGGTATTTGGGATATTGGTGTTTGAGATAACAATGGGATGGTACTTGTACTTGCAAGTCACAATATCTGAGATTCCTGTATCTGATATTCCTTAACTGAGGACACGTTTGAGAAAATAAAGTTTCCGGTGTTGATGCACGTGAAGCCTCCAGATGATGCAGGGCTGGAGGATCTGGTCCCCACTGTCTGGTGGGCTACCCTAGAAAATGTAAGTCTGCTTGATGTGTTTGTAAATTTATTTTATAAAATTAGACCAGTTGGAGTCGCAGGGCTTTAGATCACATAAACCTGACTGACAGAAGGGAGGGTATTAAGAAAAAAATGTTATGCCAGTTGGATAAATAAAATCTAAAGGGTTGTGGTCAGAGTCAATAAAAGGATATTATTCACTTTGGCAGGGAGTCTGGCATTTCAGCTTAGAAAGCTACTTTCAAAAACATTCAATTTTACATTCAATATAAAATATATTTATGTAGCCATGTGTTCTTTGTTAATTGTTAAAAGTATGGAAAATGCAGTTGAGGACTTTTATGTAAAGTTGTACATCAATTCTATAGGTAAAGATGTACCGAGTGTCATAAAGCATGATAATAGGATGTACTATAAAAATGAAGAAAAAGCTTAAATATACAGTCTATTATTTTTTTTTCTAATGTTACAAATCATGAGGATAATAAAAACGATTTTTTTTTTTTTACATTGAAGGATGAAGAAAACCCCCTACCTCCCTCCAATGACACAGAGAGAGACCTCCAAAGGCGATATAACAAATATTGTCAAGATCTCAGAACTAAAGTAGAGGGTAATATTAACTATATTGACTCATAGTTGTGTCAGCATTGATGACAAGTTGAAAATAATTTTAAAGTTTTGTCACATACATGTGTATACAAGTTGTGTAATTTTGTATGGAGGGTTTTATTACAAAAGTAATTATTGGCAAGTTGGAGGCATGAAGGCTAAGTTGTTAAGATAATTTTTGGGAATAAGCTTGTTATTATTTTGTAGAGTTGGAGGATGTACAGATAGACATACTTAAGGTGCTACTCACTCACTCAGACCCAATAGACGTAAGTAGGAATGTTCAGATAATGAATAAAATTTCAGAAAAAATAGATCTTTTAAATTTTCATTCCTTGAAAATAATGGATAGATATATAATAATTACATTGTATTTCTTTTTTTTGTGACAGAAGTAATTGTTAAACAGATGTACATGTATACAATATTTATCTGTACACAATATCTTCAATATTAAGAAATTTGACCAGATTCAGTATTTGGCCATGCACGTACAAAATATTTTGCTGACACCGAATGTACTAATGAGTAGGAGTGTGTTTTTTCCTACCTGTGTGAGGAAAGGGTGTTGTTTTAGGGGACATTTTAAGTTTGTTCTAGTGAACGTATTACCCCTCCCCATCAAAAGATTAGTTTATCCATCTCTCCATCTCTGTATTGTGATGAGGCTGTTGAAAATAACTCGGAACAATTTTGAATTTACAGAAAAAGACATCTCGAATGATTTTTGTGGAGAAACTGAGAACTTACCTGAAAAGTAACAACAGACTTGGAAAGGTAATTAACATATTGATAATTGATAGGAAAAGGACCAAACCTAAGACTAGGTATATCTTTATGGCATAAGTCTTTTATTTGTAAATTTTGTATACATTGTTGAATGTTTAAGTCCCTTTCCCCTGTTTTACAGCTTCAACAAGTGACCACCTGCCCCCTGAGTTTCTTCCATCGTCTTGTCCAGGCCCTCCGCTTCTACTGGGATGACTTCCAGAAAGAAGATCCGGCCAGATTTGTTTTAAGCCAAGGTCAGGGACTTGTAATCTATTCATAGTCTACATAAGGTCTCAAATATTAGACGAACATTTTGTTTTATTTCTGAACAGTTTTTGGATATCATCACTTTCGTGCATTGGAAGTTTTTCAATTGCAGTCTTGCTGAAGATAAATTAGCACAGCACACCCTTAATAAGTGTGAAATTTAGCACTATAAGTTTTATTTCTACATTAAGTTTCTCATTTTGATTGATTTTGTGTATCATCTGGATTTCAGATGCCTTTATGCCTGTCCATGAGTTTTGGTTAGATTCCAGAGAACTGAGTGATTTACAGAGGTGTGGGGGACTAGTGTCACATCTCAACAGGGTTCTGGGAGGTAGGCTAGAAACAAGAGTTAAATAGGAACATACATGTACACATAGTCTGAAGGTTGGACAGAATTGTATGATTAGAGCTTTTTTTTTTGAATAGGCAAATTATTTGTACACTTCATTGCCGCAAAGAAACTGAAAATGGATAAACTTTTTTGGCTATAATATTTTTAAGTAATAAAGTATTTGTTAGATTTGTAAACATAATTATGTTAACTTTATAACTACTGGATAATACTTAAATCTTAATTTAAAACACATGTACATGTATAATCATGCAACTTATTTTTCAAGGTGAAGTTAACAAATGCCAGGGTTTACAGATTGACAAAGATGGTAAACCTGTCAGAAATACAGATGTCAGTACAGGTGAGTCATAGGGACCTCATGGTCTGTAAATTATAACAGGAAAGCTCGGGATGAATTTGTATAATTTCAAAATATAATTTTCATATTTTAAATAAATGACATTTCTTTAAATTAAAGAATTGAATAACTGGTCAAATGTGCATATTTAATGGGATGATCCAAGGAGGTTTATAAACTTAACCTTTTAAAGTCCCCATATGCATGTCATCTAAAAATACTGAGACAAACGTGTCATTTCTCTATTAAACTAAAGTAAAAATTAGTTTGGTTCTCTCTCAAAAAAATAAATTGTTTGATCCCTGCATGTTATATTTATGAATTTCAATATGAAAAAGTGGATCCACCCCTTGTTATCCACCCTTATGATTCCCTGTGAATGTTTTTTAGATTACCCCCCTCTGGAGATGCCCAGTGGGAATTCTCTGATGGACTTGTTGGATGTCATTGTCTTATTGTATCACCTGTCTTCTCATGCTCAGATCTCCAAGGTAAAATGTTCAATAGATCTTCAGTGTCCTTAGGAGTAAGCAAGATAAAGATTGATATTATCTGTTTTAATCATGAAACTAGAATAGCACATCTGTCTATCTCCCCCTCTCTTTTCTCTCTCTCTCTCTCTCTCTCTCTCTGGTCAAA